TGTGTCGCCCGCATCTCCCCTCTTGAGATGTGTACTTTCATGCTTTCGTGTCTAACTTTACTCTCTCACTCTCTCTCCCTCCCTCCATACCTAAAAATCCTCCAAATAAAATCTATTTACTTCACTGCTTGTCTACTCCTGAAATTCCTTTCTGCGAGGCGAGACAAGAACCCAGCAACCCTGGGTCCCGAGTGGCAGAGGCGGGTGGGGAGAAAGTGACTGTCTTTCTCCTCCCCGCTTCATATAAGTCACCCGTGGGGCCCACCGACATCAGTCCCAGATGGGCAGGGATGGGGACGGACAGAGGAGGTGGCTCAGGGGGTTGAAAGGTGCCCGGAGTGGATGGCTTGATGAGGAATGTAGACCTTTGCCCACATTTCAGATGGGCAAATAGCAGAACGTGGGAGCTGCCAGGGGGCACCTGGGTCTGAGTCACCTGCTCTGACTATGGAGGACGTCCGGCATGGCCTGGACATGGCCTAAATGTGACTCTGTAGACACATCTTCCCGAGGCTCCCTGAGGCAGCCTTGCTCTTGCCCTGTACATGACACACTGGAGGATTTCTACCTCTTTCCTGACAGCTGCTCATGCGTGCCCGCCCCCCACCAGACATTCTAGGAAACAAAACTAGAATTCTAGATTCCCAGAGATTCTAGGAAATGAGACTCTCACTCTTGTTGGAGATGAGTCCTGGAGCTCACACTCGGGAGCCCCTGTGGTGTCAGCAGCCTGTTCCCCCGACTCTCAGAATCCTCCAACCAGTTTTTCTCTGGCTCATGGTGAGCATTTCTGCAATGGGGTGGATTTGGAGAGTGGGCTTCACTTGGCAGACACAGGATCCTTACATGATGGCCAGGGGAAAACAGTGTACAGAACACAGCCACAAGCACTTTTAACCTGGTGTCTTTATGAAACCAGCCCTTGGAGTAGATACTGGTGTGCCCAAATCCGAGAATAGAAGTAACTGTCTAAGGTCTAGTCCGGGGCATTAAAGGACAAGGCCTGCCTGACACTGTGTTTTGGCTGGGCTTCTCCCTCTCTTTCTCCTTCTACTGTTTTGTAGGAACTGCTTTGCAAAAACATACTGAATACTGAATACTCTCAGTAGCTTGCCAGGCTCTCTGAGAGGGGTGGAGGAATCGAACCTGGCTCGGACAGGCTGGCTGCTGGCACTTTACCTTCAAAACATCTAGAAGAGCCAGCGATCTCTTACAAGTTATGTCTTAGGAGCAAATGCACCCAAAACTTCTTGCTTCTCCAGAGATCTCCTGCTTTCCCTCAAACCCTCATCCTAGTCCCTAGTTTTGGGTCAATCGATCAGCTAGAAGCTTCCTGCCTTTTTTCCTACTCTCGTAGCTGTTCCAAGAATCACGAATGGGAGGTGAACGCTGCGCCTGGCTGTTGCCTCTCCGGCTCTTGAAGGCTGCCAGTGTGTATGGCAGCACCTGATGTTCCGAGGCATTGGGGTCTGTGCCTCTGGGCTCTGTCTTTCCAACGGTCCCCCGAGACAGGACGAGACTGAAGGGGGCCACAAAGCCAAAGGCGGGGGGATGCACCTTGCTATTTGGAGCTCTAGCTGGAGATGAGTTAACCCCAGACCAGCTGGCGGGACAGCAGGTCATGAGCACGGAGCAGTCTGTTCCCAGCCGTCTGTTGAGCTATCTCCTGCACCCCATAGAGGGTCGTGTAGCAACTGCAGGGAATGACAGCTTGCATTTAACCTCTAGCTCTGACCCTGTAGCTGTGCGGCCTGCCCGTGTCTGCCTGCAGTCCCAGAGCCAGGCCTCACTCAGGAGTTCTGGCCATTTGTGCAAGTGCTTACTGAGAGACAGAGGCGACTGCATGCAGCATCAGCCCGCTGCAGAGCGCGACTCTGAGGGTACAATCCCGCGTCACCTTCACCGACAGGAACAGAGCCGGTCTCTAGAGTGTGGGGGAGGTGGGGAGAGGGGGGAGGAATGCAAAGTGAGGGGCCTGCTGTTGGCTGCTTTTCTTCTTTCCTTTCAAAAGAAACTCTTTGGAAGCTTCTCTCATCAGTGGGAGACCCCCTGGGGAAACACTCCTCATTCCTCAAAGGAGAGGAGGGGTGTGAGTCTCTGGAGAACATCTCAATAGGTGGCACAGTTGGAGGGCTGCTGACGGGGGGGGGGGGGGGGGGGGGGGGGGGGGGGGGATGAACCCACTTTTCACACTCTCCCCCAAATCAAACGCTCTTTCCTTCCTGGGTTTTCAGGAAGCCTTGCATTGCTGATGACAAACCCACACTCTCCCGTAGTGGGTGGTGAGGTGAGAAGAATTGAGGTCTGCAATGAATTGTTCGCCCATCACTAAAGTTTGGGGAGCCCCTGCTCGTTCTGTCCCCCTAACACAAATAAATGAGGACTTTGGTTCTATTGCAAAGGAGTCAAGAGTTTTAGAGGTTTCAAAGTCAGAAGCTCAGTGAAATGAACGCCTCACCAATAATACTTTATCCAGCCAGATTCTCATTCAGACTCGAAGGAACGATACGCTATTTCATGGATAAACAGCTCACAGATTTTACAGATGCAAAGACAGAAGTTGTCTTCCTCCAGAAGGAACTAGGGAAATTTTCAACTTCCTGGAAACTGGGATTTTCATCTGTACAAGAGAAGCAAAGTGGCGTGGCCAACCCAGCCTTGTGAGGCTGAAAGAATCCATATTAGGGCATCAAATTTTTGCGTGCTTCAGCTACATTGCTTTCTGTAAAACTGCTTGGCTGCTTTGCACCTGGGGGAGAGGGGACTTGGAAAGTGAACAGGGCATAACTTCTTTCTAAACCAAGTGTGATAGGATTCAGGTGTATTTACTGTTCCTGAAATGTATTGTCTCAGTAAAGCACCCTGCAGACTTGGGTAAAGGATAACTCAGGATGCGGTGTTTGGGGGAAATTGCCCTTTCCTGGAGTGTATTGTCTCACTAAAGCACCCTGCAGACTTGGGTAACTCAAAACAAGGATGGTCAAGGGAGATTACCTAAGGCTTAATGATTCCGGCTATAACCTTGCTTGTGCTGACAACCAATGTACATAAATGCTGATTTTTGAATCTATAGGCTAAGGAGTGAGGTACTTTTAAATGGATTGGTTAAGAAAGTATATGTTGTTACAAATCTATTGGCTATGAAATGTGCGGGCTTTGCTGTAACGGCCAGTGAAGGCCTATATAAGATCCCCTTTGAAGAAGTTCGGGGCTCTCAGCCACTGCCCATTTTTGGGGTATGCTGCGGAGCCCCAGCATGCTGGTCTAAATAAACCCCGTTTTACTCCTGCAGGAATTGTGTCTATCTGGTCTCTGCACCTCCCAGGGCTAGGGAACTCCCGATCCCATCAAGGCGAGTGGGCTGAGATGTGGACTGGCCACGGGGCAGTGCCCTGGCTCTAAGTTCTTGCCGTGTCTTCCCTGTTTCAAATCCCAGAAACCCCACAGAGGCAGTGCCATTTTAAGCTTCGCTGACTAGGTAAGAAAACGGGTCCAGAGAGGCCCAGCAACCGACTCAAAGACCCACAGCAAGAGCGTGATGGTGCTGGGGGCAGATCTGGGCAGTGGGCCCCCACGCCCACGTGCCCACCCGGGGCTGTGCAATTATAGCTTTCCTAGATTGATGTGCGAAGGAAAGACTGAAAGAATCCATATTAGGGCATCAAATTTTTTGCGTGCTTCAGCTAACTTGCAACATTGCTTTCTGTAAAACTGCTTGGCTGCTTTGCACCTGGGGGAGAGGGGACTTGGAAAGTGAACAGGGCATAACTTCTTTCTAAACCAAATGTGACAGGATTCAGGTGTATTTACTGTTCCTGAAATGTATTGTCTCAGTAAAGTACCCTGCAGACTTGGGTAAAGGATAACTCAGGATGCGGTGTTTGGGGGAAATTGCCCTTTCTTGGAGTGTATTGTCTCACTAAAGCACCCTGCAGACTTGGGTAACTCAAAACAAGGATGGTCAAGGGAGATTACCTAAGGCTTAATGATTCCAGCTATAACCTTGCTTGTGCTGACAATCAATGTACGTAAATGCTGATCTTTGAATCTATAGGCTAAGGAGTGAGGTACTTTTAAATGGATTGGTTAAGAAAGTATATGTTGTTACAAATCTATTGGCTATGAAATGTGCGGGCTTTGCTGTAACGGCCAGTGAAGGCCTATATAAGATCCCCTTTGAAGAAGTTCGGGGCTCTCAGCCACTGCCCATTTTTGGGGTATGCTGCGGAGCCCCAGCATGCTGGTCTAAATAAACCCCGTTTTACTCCTGCAGGAATTGTGTCTATCTGGTCTCTCCGTGCCTCCCAGGGCTAGGGAACTCCCGATCCCAACAAAGACTTGTGAGTTCGAGCTAAGAAAATGTCTTGGGAAGATGACCGAATTGGAGTGAATTAATATTCAAACAAGCACGCTAGGTTGTAGAAGAATGTGCTAGGCCTGGTTCAGAAAACTTCAGAAAAAGTCCCAACTCTATGGGACCTGAGAGACAGTGTAGGTTTTAAGACACATGCCGGACATGTGGGCAACCCCAGCTGGACCCCAGACCTGCAGGCATGATGCTGTGAACAGCAGCACCCCTGGCAGTGACCCACCAGCCGAGGTGCTCTGTACCGGGAGCATGTCTGGGCCTTTTGTGAGCCTCTGGGCAAGCCCCAAACAAGGAAACAATGATCTAGTCTGTCTGGGCGGATGTCTGCCAAACACCCTATGTGAACTGTTGGGTGAGCTGCCAGTTCTACTGAGGGAGTGGACAGGTATGCTTTGGGCTGCTCAGATTAGTTAGTATTCTTTAGGTTCTGAAACAAAGTCAAGCCCAACCAGAGGAACTCAACGACGTTTCTCTAACATGGATGGGAAGGCTCAGGCACCCAGGAGCTAGCGACCAGCCTTGGAGGCGGGGCCAGCTCCTTACTTGGCTCTGGAAGGCCCCCCCACTTCCCCGGCAGGGGGCTGTGAGTGGACATGAGAACAGACTACACTGGCCGGAGAGCGGCTCTTACCTTGCCCAGAAGCTCTGGCAAGCCCAGAAGCTGCCCAGTGAACACACCAATGCAGATGAAGATGGCTGTCACCTGGCCCAGTGAACCGCGGATCTCCTTGGGTGAGATCTCACTCAGGTACATGGGGAGCGCAGTGAGGGAGATGCCTGGGGAGGAAGCAGGTGGCAGTGAGAGGGCTGGGCACAGCACCTTCCCTGGCTTTGCTCTGGACAAACAAAGCACTCCACTGGGCTGTACACGATAGGGTCCTAGGGGAGGGCTGGGAGGCGGATTTCACAGAAGAGAAAATAGTTAAGGGGGTGCACATGATAGCGGGTGGTGACTGATGGCAGTGGGATGGCAACAGTGGTGCTGGCATCTGTGATGATGATGGTGGTGGTGATAAGGATGGTGAAGGGATTGGTGAAAGTGTTGGTGATGGTGGTGATGATGATAGTGGTGGTAGCAATGGTGATGGTGGTAGGGATGATGGTGGTGATGATGGTGATGATTGTGATGATGATGGTGGGGGTAGGGTTGTTGTTGGTGGTGCTATGGTGATTGTGGTTGTAGGGATGGTGATGGAAGTGATGATAGTGGTAGGGATGATGATGTGGTGATGATGGTGGTAGGAATGGTGATGGTGATGGTAGTTGTAGGGATGGTGATGTGATGGTGGTGATGGTGATTGTAGGGATGATGGTGGTGATGATAATGTGGTAGGGATGGTGATGGTGGTTATGGTAGTTGTAGGGATGGTGATGTGATGGTGGTGATGGTGATTATGGGATGGTTATGATGGTGATGGTGTTTGTAGGGATGGCCGATGGTGGTGGTAGTGGTGATGGTGGTTGCAGGGATAGTGATGGTGGTGGTGGTGATTGTGGTAATGATTTTAATGAAGGTGGCTGTGGTGTTGGTCATAGTCGTTGTGGTAGTCATGGTCATGGTGATAATGCCAATAGCCAACTAGTGATTACCGAGCTTCAGGGATCCTTCTCACATTACTACATATATGAACTTATTTACTTTCTGAATATTTTCAAGTAAATTTCCTACTATTACTCTCTTCCTAATTATGAGGAACTGAGATACTGAGAGGCCGAGTAAGTTTCCCTGGTCACCAATTGACACTCAGAGGGGCCCAAAGCGATTATTTTCCTCACTGATTCGTTTTCTGGTTCTAGCATTTGAGCTTCCTCCACTAGCTAATTAATCTCTCTATAGAAATCACAGCCCTCAGATACAGTCAGGACCTCTGACAGCAATTTGTAGACCAGGTCACCAACCGATGACCCCAGAACCTTTCAAAAATTCACATGTACAAGTGGTACTACATGGAAAGTATCATGCTAAGCAAAATGAGTCAGAAAGAGAGGGATAGGCATAGAAAGATTGCATTCATCTGGGGAACATAAAGTAACAAAATAGGAGACTAACCACAAGGATAACTGAGATTAGTACCAGGAGGTTTACTCCATGGCTTGGAGGCCAGCCACACATCCTAGGGGAAAAGGCAGCTCAGATAGAGAAGGGAGCACCAAATAAAGGGTGTTGGGAGGATCCTCCCAGGATGGGAGAACCACGCTGAAAGTAGACTATAGACCAAACATGATTGCCACAACACCAAAAAGGAGAGAGAGAACAAAAGGGAATCCCCTGCCACAGAGGCAGGGTGGAATGGGGGGAAATGGGGGTTGGGAGGGATACTGGGATCAGTGGTGGTGGAAAATGGGCACTGGTGGAGGGATGGGTATTTGATCATTGTATAATTGAAACCCAAGCACAAAAATTTGTAAGTCTACAACTGTACCTCACGGTGTTTCACTAATAAAAATTAAAAAAAAAAAGAAAAAATTCACATGTACAGAGATTGATGACTAATATTTTCAACAAAAAGCAGTAGCTATAAAAATATTTCGCAGAATTCAGTAACTCCTGCATTTTCACTCCAGGAAACTCTGCATTCCAACTTGGGGTGTGTAATTCCTTTCTTGCTTCATTGGATTTTCTTCTCTCTGGAGAGGAGAGCTCTCTCCTTAATGTGTTATCTTTTATTTCTTCCCTTTTAAATAAAGTTTCCTTACTTTGCAAAATGTTTAAACACACACACACACACACACACACACACACGAGTTTGTTGGGGGCTGGGGGAGAAATATGAGGTCTTGTCAGTGTCCAGAAATCTTGTTTTCCAACTGCATCTGGGCATGGTTGACTTGTAGCGCCCGCAGATGCTCTTACCCCAGGCCGACTTGTGGGTCATCGAAAGCACAGACCACAGGCTCCCACTCCCATGTCAAATCCCTACAAGTCTGGAGGGCTTGTGGGTGGGGAGGGGAAGGGAATTTGTTTTTTTCAACCTGTTTGTCTATGCATAAAACGGGAACAAGAACCAAGCCAAGCTTCATACGATTTCTTCTCAAGTTAAATAGGACAGAAGCAGCGCTTCACTCATGACAGGGCACTGTGTGAATGGGTGTCGGCGGCACTTGTTATTCCTGGCCTGGATATTCCCTAGATTGGGTGGGCACTCAGAGTTGCTTTCCAGTGCCTTTAGCACATTTCCCAACACACCGTACCCACCTCTCAGTGTGCTTCCAGTTAAGCTCAATACAAGAGTTTAGTTTCTGGCAGATCTTTCCAGAAACATTAATGAAGGCAACCAGCAACCCATTGCCCATTGAGCACACCTCAGCCTGGGGAAACTTAGCCCTCAAGACAAAGACAATCCCTGAGCAGAGACAGGAATAGCATGCAAAATCCCAATGCAAATCAGACAGCATTTGAGTTTTCTCTAAGACACACGTATTGCGAGCCTCTGGGCTCACAGAAAAAGTTTTTGGCCACCGATCAATCAAGCTCACTTTTGCCTGGAAGATGGTGGAATTGAGGGGAGGGAACATACAGAGATACATGTCCAGGGACCATCTTCCTCACTAGGCAATCTTGATCAAGTTAATCAGCTTCTCAGTCTCAGTTTCCTCATCTGTAAAAGTAGCGCAATCATTTCTATTACTGTTATGGTGGGAATTAGATCACTATAAGTCTTCGACTCACAATGTGGTCACTTTAAAAAAAATGTTGCTTTTCTTGCCCAAAGGCTCTTTTCACTCAGTGGGGATAGTTAACACCATCGCACAAAAATCTAATCAGGAGATGAGACAGCTGGTGGGGAAGAGGGTGTGTGAGCAGAACCTCTCTGCCATGGCATAATAACACCTCCTTCAGGAGGCCGCCACGCGCAATACAAATGCACCCAAAGCATGATGATTCTTGGCAGAGTGTCAACCATCCTAAATTGTGACTATTGTCACTTGCCCCGTGTGAAGCAGTAGAAAAGTAAGATGCTGGTAGTTAGACCAGAGACACAGAGGACACGGCTCACACAAAGACGAGAGGTTGACTGATCCTAATTTTCCTGGGAGTGTGTTGGTTTTGGTACTGTAAATCCTAGGTCCTGGAAACCACTGGGTCTGAGATTGGTTACTGTAGACTCGGTTCCAAGGGTGTCTCCTGGCTTGTATCTCAAACATCAACAGTTGTTCTGGGTTACTGGCATTTGACAACTTTCTGAACTATAAAACTGTGGGCCCCATGATAGCATCCATCTCTCAACCACTTCTTTTCTTGCAGAACTGTTGGGGCCTGAGCAGAGGGGAAGGGAGGGCAGGGGTAGGTCTAAGGACATATTAGTAAGGGATGCAAGAGAAGGAGTCAGAAGCACACGTGACCGTCTCGTGGATGCACATTCTCTGACCGTTTCTTCTGTTGTTTTGTGTCCATGTCTGTGGTTTTCCTGTCTGGTTGTCTTTTGGTGTTGACAGATGCAAGAAGCAGTGGGGGAGGGGGGGGGCGGTGAGCTCACACACACAGAACTGGCCTAATTTCCAGAGTCTGCCTAGAGTCATTTTAGTAGCTGAAACACAGAAGGGAGCAGAGGAAAATATTCTCTGGGAGGATCAGAGACATAAATAAACATTGAAGGAAACACTCTGAGGACCAAGGAAAATTTTCACTTTTCTACTGTGGTGGTAAAAAATTAGAGTCCACTCCAAAGCTAAGCGTGTCACTGAACACAGGATTAGCTTCTGAAAATCAAATAGGATGCACGTTACAAAACTGAGCAAAAAGTGTGTGCGCAGTTTGAGGAATTATCACCAAATAGACAGAGCTGACAATCGACCTACAATACTGGTGCCATGGAAGAGCAGCCTCTGCTTCTCTCCACCCCTCCCCAGGGCAGCCCTAGCCTAACCACCATCAGCAAAGATCAGCAAATGAATCATGGGACATTTGCTTCTTTTGTGTCCACATAGAAGAGAAGAGCATCTGCCTGACAATGCGCGATTGTAATGTGGTCCCTTGCACTGTTAAAATGCTGCGTTCCAAAGTGAGAATTCATCATCGTGTTACCCCCTACTCCCTTCCCACTGCTTCAAATGCTTTCCAGCTCGGGGTTACTGCTACTAATGCCCCTATAACTATTCTTGTGCAAGTCTTTGTGCAAGAATACTTGGAATTGGTCTCTCTCTCTCTCATACACACACACATATATAATATAATATATATATACACACACACATATATATATACATGTACACGTAGAGATGTGTGCATTTGTGTCCATGTCTGTGGTTTTCCTGTCTGGTTGTCTTTTGGGATTGACAGATGCAAGAAGCAGTGGGGGTGTGTGTGTATGGGGTGGGGGTGAGCTTACACATACATGAGAAACCAACCAATTTCCTCAAATAATCACACTGACCTATGCCTCTTTGATAGATGAATAAACTATTCTTTGGTCCACACATTCACCAAATTTGGCATTATCAGGATTTTTAATTTTAGTCTTTGTAGCTATAATTTGTATCTCTTTAAGAAACTTTATATTTCTACTGTCACTATGGTAGATGTCAGTTCAACCATTTTTGTAATGTGTTTTCTGTCTTTAAAAATAAAATTGATGTTAGAATTCTTAATGTACACTGGATATGAGCCCATTGGCAATTTCATTCACTGGGACTATTTTCTTGTTCTCTACTGTTCATTAGTGGTATTTTAAAAAATTAATTGAAGTCTTTAATTTTAATGTAGTTTATTGATTCATTTACTTTTAAACTTTCAAAGTGTTTTCTATCTTGTTTTAGAAATCATTTCTAATCCCCAA